AGACGCGACGCGACGACCACGAGTCGCAGGTTTCCATAATCGCGGACACAGATGCATTAGCGACGCGTCACATCGCAACCTAAAGACGCGTTTGTTTGTTTATTGATGAACGCCAGACGCATGAAGAACGCGCCGCCGCGTTTCCAACAAAACGCGTTGAACGCAGAGCGTCGCCAAACATCAGGACAGCGTCACTCACCTATGTGTAATTCATGCTGTCCGAGCGAGGGACGCGTTATAAGCGCTCGCCAATGGCACGACGCTCCAGCAGCGCGTTACATCTCATCCGAATGGCAGCCGCAGTTTATGAATGAAGCGGAGCGACGCCACGCCCACTGGCGCGGATGACGCGAGCGCTAGGATTCTCCTCATGAGCGTCAGAGAAGAGGAAGAGGAGGAGGAGGAGGTGCTTCACTGACCACTGATTCACAAAACCTGAACCGGGTCTGGTCCGCACTGCCGCGTGACGTCACGGATTGACGCAAGAAGATACACACACACACACACACGCACTCACACACACACACACACACACTCAGTTTTTCTTTTTTAATAAATCTGCAAAGATGTCAACAATTCTGTGTTTTTCTGTCAATATGGGGTGCTGTGTGTACATTAATGAGGAAAAAAAATTAACTTAAATGATTTTAGCAAATGGCTGCAATATAACAAAGAGTGAAAAATTTAAGGGGGTCTGAATACTTTCCGTACCCACTGTATATATATATAGATGAATATTTATAACTAGCTGAAATAAAATCAGTTTACATTGTTCATTTCATAGTTTTAGTTTCATTTTTAGATAGTGATAATAACTCCACTTAAGCGCTGTTTTCTGTGAATATATTCAGTGTTTCTCCTGCAGATCGTGTGAGGTTTAACAGCTCCTCTGACATCAAAGAGTCACTTCAATTCATTCATTCATTCATTCATTCGATGAATTTTTAAAAGCAGTTAATTAATTTCTATTTAATGCTGTTGTTAAATAGAAATCTCGTACTCTAAAGCTGCTCAGAGTCAGACAGGTAAGTGATTCACAAAATGAGCTGAAAAATTGGTTTAGAAACAATTTTCACTCTTGCTTGAAAATGTCATAATTACAAAGAAATGGCAAGTAACACATTGAAATAAATGTTAATTATTTTAAGTAAAAAAAAAAAAAATTGGTTTTTTTTTGGACACGATTGAAAAGTCCTGTTTAGTCACTAGAGGCGGTAGTGCTGTAGTTCCTGTGATGAACACACGGTGTCGCTGTTTCCCTTCATTTCAGAGGTGACGATCACCAGGGCCCAGTTGTTCAAAAGTAATCCAGTGGGATTTCGGATCACGGATTGGATAAAATCTTGGAAATGGGTTTTTCAAAAGCAAAAGAGGGATTCCGAACTAAGATCAGAGCATGTAATTGAACCCAAACCGCTGTACCATCCCAAATCCGTCCCAGCTTTGGAGGAAGAATGGATTGCGGTTTTAGCCAGGCAGAGGGAGGAAAAAAAATAACTCACCATCGGCTCCGGTGGTTAATGCCTCCTATGACGCCTTGGGTTTTTTCTAATGCTGCGTACCAGTTAGGAATGATTTTAGTGATGGCTCAAAAGTTACACAACAGGTCAAACTTTTAGAATAATATGCTGATTTGGTGCTCAAGAAGCATTTCTTATTAATACCAATGTTGAAAACAGGTGTGCTGCTTAATATTTTTGTCGAGCAGCAAATCAGCATATTAGAATGATTTCTGAAGATCATGTGACACTGAAGACTGGAGTAATGATGCTGAAAATACAGCTGCGCATCACAGAAATACATTACAGTTTAGCAGAGATTCACATAGAACACTTTTCAATAAAATGTCATTGTTTTTATATTTTTGATCAAATAAATGCAGCCTTAGTGAGTAAAAGAGACTTCTTTCAGAAACATTTGAAAATCCCTAGACTTTTGAGGAGCAGTGTATAAAACAGTCTTGCATTGCAGTGTTTTTCAGCTGCTTACACACATTTTCAAAACTCTTTTTTTTTTCAAAACTTTACACACAAATCCAAGAACTACACACAAAATGCAAAATGCATCTCTTGCAAAACGAAGCGCTGCATTCAAAATATCACAAACACATCTCAAAAGCATATGTGTTACAGAGATGTGTGTTGTGTTTTGCAAAAAGTGTTTTATGAAATTGAAAACTGAGTCAAAGATCCAATATTAGTGTATGGTTTTGCAGATTTGGTGCGTGCTTCTGCTGTTTGAGTGTCAGCGTTCAGAAACTGTGTGACTAGTAAAGATTTTGTGTGTAAGCAGACGGAAAACAACTGTAATAACAGGAATGAATCTACTTTATTTGTTAATTGTAAAATTTTAAAAAATTGGGTGTAGAAACAATTTTCACTCAGAAATTACAAGCAAGCTCTACAACTAATTATATACAAAGAAAAATTGAATTTTAAGGTTGAGAATCAGTGTATGGTTTTGCAGATTTGGTGCGTGCTTCTGCTGTTTGAGTGTCAGCGTTCAGAAACTGTGTGACTAGTAAAGATTTTGTGTGTAAGCAGACGGAAAACAACTGTAATAACAGGAATGAATCTACTTTATTTGTTAATTGTAAAATTTTAAAAAATTGGGTGTAGAAACAATTTTCACTCAGAAATTACAAGCAAGCTCTAGCAGCTAAAAATGGTTTTAAGTCAGTTATTTCTATCTTTTGCTGTAGTGTGTCAGTAGGAAATATCAGTTTTTGTCATTAATTGTAATAATGCAGTGAGATATATGTTAGTGCTGCACACAGAGATGTGATCTGATCATCATCAGTCTGTCTGGAGTCACACGAAGAAACAGAACAAACTGAGACAGACTCAATCCAGAAGAACTGACGCTTCAGGTAAATATCTGACTGACTATTGAGCTCCAAAAAGGACAAAACGCCAATAAAAGAACATTTTCAATGCAGCAAATCAATATGAAATCTTGAGTTTTGACCTCCAAAAAATGTGTTACAGTGCAGTCTGGAAAAAAAAAGCTGTAGGATTTACTTTATTACAGTCACATTTATTTATTTAATAATAAACATAAAATAAATAAGTACAAAGAAAAGGCAAGTAACTGAAATAATGTGAAATGTATAAGTATAAAGACTGAAATAGCATTAAAATGATCGAAAGTGACAGTAAAGACAGTTACAAAAGATCTCTATTTCATATAAATGCTGTTCTTTTGCATTTTCATCTGAATCCTGAAAAATAAAATGTATCACGGTTTCCGCAAAAATATTCAGCAGCACAACTGTTTCATTACAACATTAAAATACATGTGAAGTCATTTATAGGAAGACTGAAATGAAAAGTACATTATTTGACAGTGTATGTGATGGACTCAGCTCTTCTGCAGCTTCTGGTCTCTATGAACTGTACTCTACTGTAAAGAGTTCATGATGGTCTGCTGGTGTTCCTCAGATAACAGCACACGGGTCTGAGATGAAGTGATGCTGAGTGAATGACTTTCATCCTTCAGAATGTTCTAGAACAGAGTTATGAACAAACATTCTTCCAGTAGAATGTTCATTTGGCTTCAATAATGTTTCACACAAAATGTTATTTATGTATTGTCGATAGCACCTTTAAATTTTGAAACGTTTTAGTTGGACGTTCGTGTAACAGTTTTTAAATGTTGCTTGTTTTAGAACGTTCTTTGAACATTTAAAAAAGTAACATTCCCATAACGTTAGAAAATTTAAAATGGAATGTTCCCTTAACATTCACATAACAAAGAAAAAAAGTTTTTAGAACCTTTAAAATTTTAATGTAGAGAATCTTTTCATAGCTTAATGGGAATTTTAGCACATTATTAGAATATATTTTTGTTCAAATTCGGTTGAAGTCTCTGTAATGAGCGTGACTGATGAAGAAACGTGTTTGCTGCTCATTTCGACCCAAACTGTGATCCGTATTGTGTTTTACTCGAATGTGTTTAACATCCTGACGTATTACTGTAACCTTTACACAAGACACCTGTAGAACAAGCATAAAACAGCACGCATCACGGGATCGGAATGTTCTGTTTCAGGGACAGGGCTGGGAATCTCACTCGACATTCCTCCTCCCACAACATCACACACACTCAGATATGAAGTGATTCATAACTTCAGCAAACCATCACAGATTCCTGGGAAAAGCAGGAAGTGAGCGTGATGATGATGATGATGATGATGATGATGATGGACACTAGGCCGTCCTGATTCATCAGAGCTCACGCGGACTGTGCTCAGAGATGAAAACACTCGAACCCATCACAGCCTCGCTGACAGACCATCAGGAATGATTCATGGGTTCACAGCAACATCCCCTCCTTCACAGAACTGAGCCCACACTGTATATCCATCATCCAGATAACATAAATATAAATAACAAAGCCAAAAGACATCAAAAATAGTTTCCTCATTTATAAACATTCATTTAAATCACTAAAGTCGTTTAAATTTAAAAAGAGGTGTTTTTTTCAGATTAAATGCAAAATAAATCAATACATTACTTTCATAATCCTGTATATATATATATATATATATATGTGTGTATATAAATATATATATATATACATATGTAATATACATGTATTGCTCTTTTGTTGGTTCTGATTACTTCTATTGTCATCATTTGCAAGTCGCTTTGGATAAAAGCGTCTAAATAACTAAATGTGAAATTTAAAATAAAATTAAAAAATACGTAATAATTTTATTATGGTGTCATTACTGGAAAGCCGATGTTAAAATCCAAGATTAAAATGTTTTACTGGAATGTTTTACTCTCCGCTGTTATGAATGCACAGCGGGAAGGGGCGTGGCCGTTCTCTCTGCGCTTCTCTGATTGGTCACGTCAACTATTATCGCAGAGGACAGGGTGGGTGGGCGGAGCTTGCGTGCATGTGGCTGTTACGAGCGGACAGCTGATTGGCTGACACGACGAAGGCAAGCGTATCCTTTAATGCCATTGGTTGTTTGTGGCGGTGGGCGGGATCTTTCGGCTGAGCTTCGTAACAAATGTAGACGCAGCAGCTGCGCTGCACAGAAGACCGAGCAATCGGCTTATAGAATAGAGCTGCGTTACGAGCTAAATAACATTCGTAATAAATATAAATGTACATTCGGATCCTAATGGCCTGCTAATATTGATATTTTGGCGCGTTTCTGTAAGGATCGGCGGCCGTTATTGTAGCAGCGCGCGCGAGACGGTGGATTTACCTCAGAAAAACCAAACCGAAGACCGCGGATATTTCACCGGAATATTACGTATTTACGGTGAGCAGGAGAACCGTTCGCCACACACCGTCACCCGCTCGGTTCACAGATCACGGGGTTCTCGGATGGAGCGGAACACCGAGGCGCGGAGTCACGGATCGCGGTCCCGGTGTGAGGAGCTCCTCCGCGGCGACGCGTCCATGAACGTATCGATCAGCTCCACCACCGGGAGCCGCTTCGAGCTGTCCGTTCCTCTGGAGGAGACCGTGGAGGGGCTCAACCGGAGACTGTCCGAGAAACTCCGGGTTCCGAGGGAGCGACTGCTGCTGCTGCACCGAGACACGTGAGTCAGTCCGGGATCCGGTCAAACTCCGCTGCTCTTGATTCGGAGTCGGTTCTGAATCGGTTCTTTTGGTTGCTTCCTTTGGTGCTTTGAGTAATCTAGATCAGAACATCAGGGCTGATGTCTAGCTAGAGGAAAATGTACAATCCTGCGAGGTTTTTAAACTGGTTTTGGAGGTGAATGTTCCAGGTTTCTGCGGGTCTTAAAAAGGATTTGATTCGTCTCTCCACAAATTAAGGCCTTAAAAGGTTTTTAAATCAGATCAGAAAGTCTTTCATTCATAAATGTTGCATGCACTGCAAAAAATGTTTTCCCAGGGCACATCATTTGAGATGCAAAATGGAGATATGAAGTCTGAGAAACTGAACAAAAGTGAGTTCATGCTTAAAACAAGAGCAAGCATCTGTGTATGGGGAATAAAACTTGTTTTCCTTTTAAATCAAGTTGAATTTTAAGCCCATTTGCAGATCTGCATGTTTTTGTTTTAAGCTTAAACTCAAGTATTGTGATCTTAAAGGACAGTTAAGTTATTCTGTGTTTGGAGACTTGTTCAGATCACAACGATGTTTGTTCAGAAAAGCAAAGAAACCATCTCATGAATGTCCTGATGTATCTGTCAGTTGTGGAGAAGTGCATGATGGGAATCATCAGTGATCGTGTTCTCCGTCTGCAGGAGGTTAAACTCAGGAAAGCTGCTGGATTTCGGTGTGGCTGACGGAAGCAGACTGACGCTGGTGCCCACGGTTGAAGCCGGACTGATGGTATAAAACTCTTCCTTCTCACAAATCACACAGGTTTCTACATTTAAAGGCCTAAACTAAATGCTTTGGCTGTGTTTTTCATAGATGTAAGCTCCTCAACTTTCAGTGGCAACTCACTTTTTTGAGATCAAAATAGGTCATCTATGAGATTTACTTAGATCCTGTTTGCATCGCTGGTTTTTAAGATCTCATGCATGCATTGTGACGTTGTTGTTGTTGTTGTTGTTGTGTGTTTGCAGTCGCAGTCGTGCCGCTCGGAGCAGTCGGTCCTGCAGGCGCTGGAGACTCTCTCAGACGCTCAGGTGAAGCTCTCGCTGCGGTCGCACACTTCCTCTTCTACCAGAACACACTCATTCACAAGAACTCACACAATCACTATCCTAATGAGTGTGCGTTTCCCACCAGCAGCTGAATATAACCAGTGAAAGACGCCCACACGTGTGAACAAATACACATGCACTCATTCAGAATGAGCAGTGGGGGATTCTGGGTAAACGGCGGTAACGGGTCGGCGCTTTTCATGAATGTTCTTCAATGTTATGAAGCTGCTCTTTTGGCGACGAGCCCGTTTTCTGACACTCGCTATAAAAGTGACATTTGACGTTTAACAGATCATTAACCTACGTGAACTACATTAGATAAGCAGAAACATTTCTATTTTTAAGTTTTAGCCCCTGCATGTGACACCTACATATGTGAAACCACATGTGCATATATTTCTCTGTATGTGTGTGTGTGTGTGCTCCGCCCCATCAGCGGGTCTGTGCGTCATTTTGGCAATGCTGAGCTGTGTGTGTGTGTGTGTGTGGTTAGACTGAAGAATGATAGATGATTTCCAAGAACAGACGCATGGCAGGCTCTTATTATAAGCGGCTCTGAATCTCATGAAACTCGGTTATCTGCTGTTAGATGTGGTTGGTGATGCTGCAGGTATTTTTAGCCTGGAAATCCTCCTGTGAAGTGTGTTAGAATGGCCTGACGCTCTACCTGTCTATGTGTCTAGACCACCTGTGTGTGTGTGTGTGTGTGTGAGTGTGAGTGTGAGTGTGAGTGTGAGTGTGTGTGTGTGTGTGTGTGTGTGTGCTTCAGGAAGTTTGTTTTTGTCAGGTTTGAGCGTGTTTTTCTCCGTCTGGTATTTTCTGAATGAAGCAGGTCTCACATGAAGAGCGTTAGACGTTGTAACTGTTCACTGTAAGATCAGCACACACTCATCATTGAAAACAAACCGTATTAATGCATTCATCCGTGCATTTTTTCAATATTGTTGTTTACTTTGAACCCTTTAATCAAGCTGTTGTAACCTGCTCTTCCTGTGGCGTGACTCACTTGATGTCTCTGATGAATGCCGGTTCAGTCAGTCGCATTCAGATCTGCGTCCATTTCAGTATAAACGCTGCAAAAAATGATTTTCTTATGCAGTATTTTTGTATTGTTTTCCAGCACAAATATCTAAACATTGTTAAATCAAGATACATTTATTGGAGAAGCAAAATGGCGTTAATATTTATTTTTTTATTTTTTAATGTAGCAAAATGAAGTGAGTTTTTGCTTGAAACTAAAAAAAAATATTTTCCAACATGGTCAGAAAAATAAACTTTATTAAAAAAAAAAAATGTAAAAAAAAATCTGATTCCATTGGCAGGTATTTGTTCTTGTTTTTAGCAAAAACTCACTTCATTGTGATAAATTTTTCAGAGAAAATGTAACGTCTTGAGTTATTTTTGTTTCTTGATTTTAAGAATGTTTAAATATTTGTACTGCAAATCAAGACAAAAGTCCTTTTTCACAGTGCAGTGCTGACTTTTCACAATCCAATCCAATCTAGTCCTGTCCCACTTTTTCTTTTCTCATTTTTAGCCATTTCATTCTGAAATCCATCACAATACAGCAGTGAATTAACATTAATATCTGCTTAGTTTGCTCCATCCTCATGGTTTTCATCCAGGTCCTGTGGTAGGAAACCGGTCTGTTTATCACTCACGGTGATTGTAAGGATCCTCCAGTGTCGTCTTGCTGTCGAGGGCATCTCTGACCGTTCCCTTCAGCGTGATTGGAAATCATTTGCTCTTAATAGCTCTGTGCGGCGAGGGAGCAGACCTGCGGATCAATAGCGCTTCAGACAGAAGATGCTCTCCTAGCCACTTCAGCATTGATCTGTGGAGCTCGATGTTCATTAACCTCAGATGCAGAATGTGGCAGCTATCAGGGAGGATGAGGAATATGTTTACCGACCGTCTCCGCCGTGGGATATGTGGGGTTTTTGGTTGTTTGAGGGAAAATGCCACCTGAAAACATCTGCTTTATGTTATTACTGAGAACCTTTAACATCCTGGGGCCAGTTGTTCAAAACGTTTAGTCTGGATCAGAATGATCTGGATTTGGAAATCCCATGTTTTGCGATCCAGGATCAGGTAACCCATCTTACTTTAGTGCTGGTTTTTCAAAGCAAAATTGGATTTGCACCCTGATGCAGATACACACTTTTTCAGATTTACAAATCTGGATTACTAGTGCTCTGTGGAGCGCCTAAAAGTGATGGAAACAAATACCAATGTTTTGCATTGCATTTACACAAATAACTACTTCTGACTGCTCCATCTCTGATGATTGTGCCAATGTAGTTTACAATCAGTGATAAAAAAAACAACAACTTTAACTATAATATTTTTGTATTTGGACCAGTTTTATTAAAGTTTTGTTCCTGAAATCCACCCTTCTTCTGGGATCAGAATAATAAAGTATCCCAATCTTACAAAAACGTTTTGAACAACACAAACTGAGGATTCAATCCAGATCAAAACCAAGATCGGATTTTGTGATCTAATCTGAATTCAGAAACTTTTTTTTTTTTTTGGAACAACCCATTTTCAAGATTATATCCAATCTGATCAGATTACTTTTGAACAACTGGTCCCTGGAATCTTTCAAATGCACAAAAGGTTCTTTATGGAAAAGATTCTACACACTAAGAAAAATATGGTTAGAGCTGTTTACCGAAAGGTTCTTTGGGAAATCAAAAATGGTTCTTCAATGGCACCTTTATTTTCAAGAGTGAACTCCAAGGTTCTTATTGCAAGCTGGCAACATTTCTGGGGGGAAAAAGGGCATTTAATTACTCATTTGGCTTCATTTTACTTTACTAATTTGTCATAATAGTGCTTGGATTTGTTGCAGTGTAAAAAGTGAGCACTGCACTGCAAAAACTCAGTATTTATGGTTTTTCCAGTACAAATATCTGACCATTCTTAAATCAAGAAATATGTGTCCCTGCAGCACAAAAGCAGTCTTAAGTCGCTGGGGTATATTTGTAGCAATAGCCAACAATACATTGTATGGGTCAAAATTATACATTTCTCTTTTATGCCAAAAATCATTAGGATATTAAGTAAAGATCATGTTCCTTGAAGATATTTAGTAAATGTCCTACCGTAAATATATCAAAACTTAATTTTTGATTAGTAATATGCATTGCTAAGAACTTAATTTGAACAACTTTAAAGATGATTTTCTCAATATTTAGATTTTTTTGCACCCTCAGATTCCAGATTTTCAAATAGTTGTATCTCAGCCAAATATTGTCCTATCCTAACAAACCATACATCAATGGAAAGATTATTTATTCAGCTTTCAGATGATGCATACATCTCAATTTCAGAAAATTGACACTTAAGACTGGTTTTGTGCTCCAGGGTCACATATTTACTTAAGAAGCAAAATTACTTAAAATATTAAGTTTTGTTTTCTGAAAACAAAACTTTTTTTTTTTTAAAACAAAAATTTTTTTGTTTAAAACATGTTCAGCTCCTCCGTCCTCCCTCAGCCCTCTTAAGCGGGATTTGAAAGGAGAGAGAAAAAGAAAAGAAAAAAAAAATTTAAAAAAAAAAATTTTTTTTTTAAAAAAATCCCCCCCCCCCCCCCCCAATATCATAAAATTTCATTTAATGTTTTGTTTGAAAGGACATTGAAGGGTTTAAGTAATAGTTGTTAGTTTTGTTGGGCCCAGTTATAAGAACCGTAACCGGTTACGTGCGATCAGAAGCAGGAAGATCTCTTTAAATGAGGCTGTGATGTTCTGAGAAGCAGAGCCTCGTCGTTAGCTGTTTCTCGCTCTGACTCCGCGTCTGCTGAGGGGCAGAATCGCTCGAGGCGCTTCTGTGAGTCAGGAGTGTGTTAGTTTGGGGGTTTTGTGAAGTCGCTCGTATCTCGCTCACTCATCTGCATACCAGCCGCTCTGATGTACAGTAAACCGCTCTAAACCGGACTCCTCAGGCTGGTGCTGTGAGACGTGATGACGTGACGCCACACTCGGAGCTTCTTGTAATCAAGGGTTGGGTGTTTCCTCCTCGTTTGCTGATTTCCAAACCGTTGTTCAGTGCGCAGTCGATCTGTGATCCGTCCGGATTCATGTCACAGTCTGAAGACTTTAGTACAACGCTTCTCTAAGGGCTTTACTGCAGGATATTCATTTATGAAGCAGTGACAGTCAAACAAAAAAACATATCTTCCTTTTTAAGAAGTTAAGTCTTTAAAAGATGTTTATTTTAGTCTATGCACCAATATATGGTTTATTATTTGCATTAGTCACTCTTTACAAGAGCGTCATCAATTCATTAACTAACAATCAGCATATCTGATTAGCTATGAGCTAAAAGCTAACTGAGACTTGTTATAGCACTTGTGTATCATTGCTCTGCTCTTGTGTTGATTCTGATTGCTTCTATTGTCCTCATTTGTAAGTCGCTTTGGATAAAAGCATCTGCTAAATGACTAAATGTAAATATCTTACAGCATTTATTAACCTTTCTTAATGTTATTTAAAAATGCTTGTGTTCATGTCAGTTTATTATTAGTTTTTGTTATTTTAAATTAATTTGAATATTTAATATATTTAAGTTTTAGTAATTTTGTTGCGTTTTTGTTTTTGTAAATATGTCAATAGTTTTTATTTTTTTTATTTCAGTTTTACTTATTTTAGTACATCTGATTAAAGTCAATGAAAATGAGAGATCTTTGTGTTCGATTAAAATAGCTGAGATATATAAAAAATAGTAACGTGTGTGTGTGTGCGTATATATATATATATATATATACACACACACACACACACACACACACACGTGTATATTATATTAATATATTATAATATATTATAATGGTTTTGGTTAACTATAATAACCCTGGTTCGTGTTAGTTCTCAATGCATGAACTAATGGTAACAAATACAACTTTAGATTTTACAAATGTAGTAGTAAATGTTGAGATGAACATTAACTACAGTCTGCATGCTGTAGAAGTGTTGTTCATGTTAAAGTATGTGAACAGATGAATGCATACTGTGACGTGGCGTTCTCTGCTTGTTGGTTTGTTGTGACGCATCAGTTGTGTTGCACTGCTTTACAAAGTACCAGCCCACAGTTTCTGAGAATGAAGTTTCCCAGACTGCTGTGCTGCTGGTCTTCACCCACTCCGGTGACTGATATCAGAGGCTGAAGCGTCACACAGTCCCACTTCAGTTCCCGAGCCCAGCACACAACACGGGACCCTTCAGGGCTCCAGACTCATTCTTATCACTGCTCGCTCTTTTGCGACTAACGCACAAGCTCATGATTTGGTCGCAATATTTTTTATTTTTTGCGCTACAACATGGGATTAATCAATGCAAGGTGATGGACTTTTATCATAGTTTATAGTTATATGGAAACTAGGGATATGCCGGTATCAAATTTTCATGTTGCGATTAATTGCTAATGCTTTTATCATGGTAATTTAAATGAATTATTATTATTATTATTATTATTATTATTATTATTATTATTATTATTATTATTATTATTTCTGCAGTTTAGCGCCATCTGCTGTCAGAGAGTGAAAGTGCGCTTTCATCCAGAGCGTCTCTCACATGTTCCGCCATGTGCTTCTCGTCCGTGCTTGTTTACGTCAGAGTGTGCAGGGGTCTTTCACGCAGCATACAGCGGTGTTGTGCATTTTGACCAGTTGATGGGAAAAGTATTCTTAAAATGCATTCAAAATTCTGAATAATTTGTAATATATAATTATTCACGGTATTTAGAAGTGCCCACGATAACAATATCGTGCATATTCATTACCGTGATATATCGCATTACCGAATACCAGCACAAGTCTACTGGAAACGAAAGTGGTTAACATTCAACCCGTTCATTTTCATCAGTAGCCTATTTGTGATTTGATTTTGTGAACCGGAGATCCTCCTTTGCCGTGTTATAAGCCGGGCTTCGGACGCTTTCACTTTCGAGTTCGCGATCATCTTGTCACGTTTTACGAGAAAAGATAATTGTCTGTTTTGCTTGCATACATCTACACACCTTTCACTTTTTAAGACTAAAACAAAATATGGATTCATTGTTATTCTTAATTTAAGAGCACAACAACAATAAAACGGTAGGATACAATGACAAACTAGCTTACAAAACGTTGAGGCATGGCACACACTGCATGCTGTATTATATACAGACTAATAAATTACAGAAAGTTTAGCAAACACTGAGGAATGTGGTTTGAGCGATGCATGTGAAACCTCAGCGCTGCTGGTATCTGAATCCGAGTCTGGGGGTGTTGGTTTCTCTGGTTTGCTAGTGCTCTACTGATGCGATCTTACACTGATACACTGTAGCTATGTTTCCATCACCCTGCTTTTATGCACAGTTTGAAGTTTCTCATTTTAAAGTGTGATGCAAACACCAAATTTTGAATAACAATCCCTTAATTCGCAAAAACGCTTACTTGCGCTCTCTTGAGGTGGTTTTTGACTTGTGAGAAAGAGGGTTAATGTGAATAATGGGAGATGGAAACGCACTTGCCGAATAAATTCAAAGTCATGTGACTTTGCGCGATGGGACGGGAAAGCTTGACTAACCAGCAGAACAATCTCGTTGCATTGCATCTGAAATATTATTATGGTCATTCTGAAATGCCTGAGCAAAGTCTGTTGCCAAAGTATTTCTGTATATTTGTCTCCCAGAACGGTCTCGCACGACTGCAGGCATCCAATGCAATGAACGCATTTATTGTTTGGCTGCTCACTCTGAGCTGCAAGTAATTTATCAAATATGAAAAGTATTATATTCAGTGGCTTCTCCTACTTGTCTCAGTGATATTTAGTGCCAGTTTATCAGGAAGTGATGATTTTGTTCTCTTTGACTCGTTGGATGGAAACGGTGCTTTATTCGCAAATGTTTTATGCGATATTCCAATTTTGCGCACAAGTTAAATTCGCAACTTTGGATGGAAACCCGGCTTGTGACTCTTAATCTTCTTACAATTTTGCATCAGTGCTTTACACTTTTGTACCTGTGTTTATTTTGATTGTGTGCATTCATAATTTCACAGACAAAAGAGAAGCGAATGGATATCGAAACAGGCTTTTAATCCCAGTTTCAGTCGTGATCTCATTATTCCACTTTGAGGTGTATTTAATATCAGGACGCGGTTCTGCAAAACTAATGTTCTTATTCATTATTTTTTTGTTTTTCAATACCAATATCTAAGCTTTTTTTTTTTTTTTTTTGTTACATTGAGTTGATGCGCGATGTCATAAAATGAAATTAAAATTAATGTAAAAATATCTGCAAATGGGGTCAGAAAAATAAACACAGCCCAATATTATTTTTCTGACCCCACTGGGAGATAATTTTAATAATTTAATAATTAATAATTTCACACTGCAAAAAAATGATGTTCTTCCTCAGTGTTTTTGTCTTGTTGTCCAGTATAAATATCTAAACGTCCTTAAATCAAGATACATTTACTGGAGATTTTTGTTTTCTGAGAAAATGGAATCAGAAAAATTATCTTGTTTTCCCTTTGAATTAGGTTTATTTTTCTGTCCCCATTGGCAGGTATTTGTTCTTGTTTTAAGCATAAACTCACTCACTTTATTAAATTTCTCAGAAAACTAGACGTCTTGTCTGATTTCATTTTGCTTCTCTAGTTAATGCATAAGTAATAAGAATGATTTTTGCAGTGATGTCGATACCCGTTTGATTGTCAGAGTCAGAAGATGACATGTGCTACTAAATTAAACATGCAAGTCTCATTAACGTCTGTCAATCATCTCGTTTTGTGTGCAGGTCAGTGACTTCTTGTCGGGACGGTCCCCGCTGACCCTTGCCCTGCGTGTGGGCGATCACATGATGTTTGTGCAGCTCCAGTTGGCGGCTCAGGCGTCTGGAGGACAGCCGTCCCTTTCCAGGGGTCCTACGGGCCCCAACCAGATGCATACAGGGGCCGTCAGCAGTGGAAACCCCTCAGACTCACAGCAGCGGGAACAGGACGTCTTTAAGAGCCGCTCTGCCCCGCCCTCATCTCAGGATCGCCACACCCACAGCGCTCAAAGCCCCACCCCTGCTCTTCACTCACAGCATGTGTGCCACGCCCACAGCACTCAAAGCCCCGCCCCTGCTCCGCCCTGCATTCAGGTAAGACACGACTGTAGAGCTGCTCCAGTCTTTCCTGTCAAACTGTTTGATTCGTCTTTTATTGTATTTGTTTTATAATGCAAAAATATTGGCCTTTAATAGGCAGCAGTAATGTGTTACAGTGGATTAGCAATAAATGTTTAAATACACATTCTCACAAGTATAGAAACAGCACTAAAAAATTATAAGTGTTAAAAGGGTGAAAGTTCTTCTAAAAATAGAAATAAATCTAGTCCGACAGCAGCACTTACTACCTCTTGTCCTCGTCTCATAACAGTGTAAAGCCAGTAAACGTTGTGAATTCAACAAGCTCTAACACATTAAAAAAAAAATATCCAAACACTGGAGTTATGTCTGTTGGTCTGAAAAGCAGTCACTGAAGAAAGGAGCATTTAGAGACTTTACAGCTCAAATAATGCTGATTACTGAGTAAAAACAAAGCAAGCAAATACACAGCTTCATATTTGTGCTATAAAAGTCTTGAGATGAATAAAAGTGGTTTACTGTTGACCGTTCCAGTATTACGGAGACAGTTGCAAGGTTATTGTAATTAACTAAAAAAAGATTTACTTGAAAGAAAATAAATGTTACCTGAAATATTTAACATAAACTTGTTTAATTTTATTTCAATATTTCTTATTCCACTATTTTTATGGGTTATCATGGGTTATCACTGAAACTTAAACTAAAATTAAAAACATTAAAAAATGTTTGCTACTTGAAATGAAACCTTAACTGAAATAAAATATATTAAAAACTTATTTCTGCTAGTTGCCAAGGCAACAAGTTTATCTTGATGTACTAAAATACTTGGCACTAAAATAACGCTTAAATGCTAAAATAACTAAAACTAAATAAACAAACATTAAAAATTAGACATTTTTAAAAAATCTAATCAGAATTACTAAACCTTTTAACTAAAATTAAAATGAAAACAATAAAAAATCTGATTTAAAATATTAACAAAAACTATAATAGTATATTAACGATTATTCATGATTTAATGATAATGAATTTCAGGCTGAAGGCAGCAGACAGCGATGCAAACCCGGCGCCGTCATCGAGAGCCTGGTCAATCATTCGCCGGGAGTTTTCTCAGGAACCTTCTCAGGTAAAGCATGACTTCATCAGGAGTATTACAGCAGAACAAGCGTCTGGTCTCGACCTCACGCTGACCTCTGCCCTCTGACCTCAGGTACTCTACACCCCACCTGTCAGGACAGCAGCGGGGGTCCTCGCCGTGACGTCAGCACCATCCTGCAGATCCTCAACGACCTCCTGAGCGCCACACGGCTTTACCAGAGATCTCCTCCGACACTGACGCACCTCCGCTGCCCTCCGACCTCACACACACACACACCTCCACCCTCACCTACCTCAGACACACACACACCTCCACCCTCGTCGACCTCAGACCGACCGCAGCCACAGCCGCATGCACACCTGCGCAGGCCCTCCGGTGAGTGTGTGTGAGAGTGTGTTTGTGAGAGTGAGTGTGAGAGATTGTGTGTGAGTATGTGTGATTCCGTGTGTGTGATTGAGTGTGATTCCGTGTGTGTGTGTGTGTGTGTGTGATTTCGTGTTTGTGAGTGATTCCGTGTGTGTGTGTGTGTGTGTGTGTGTGTGTGATTCCGTGTGTGTGTGTGTGTGATTCTGTGTGTGTGTGTGAGTGTGTGTGTGTTTTCCTGGCAGCAATGCAAATGATCTGTGGTGAGAATTCATTGAGTTGCTGCAGACAGATCTACATGCACCCACAGGAAGGGGAAGTCATATTCTGACTCAAGAGTCTTTTCTAACTTTACACACTTCTCATTTTCTCCGATTCATTGCTCTGCGTGTGTTTGGTCATTTGTGTCTCGATCTGTAACATTCAGCATCAGATCAGATTTAATGCAAACACACACACTGCTTCATCAAAGCTCAAACACACCTCTGAATCTGATTGGACAAGATGTTTTGAAGAAATTATACACTCATGCATCTCTAAACCATTACGCTGATGAACTAGAAGAATGTTTATTAACTGTGATTATTATTTTTTAAATTCTTAATATTAGTAAAAATGATAATCATGTCACATGCAATACAGATTGTTTCAAAGCAGCTTCACAGAGAAAAACAGGAAAATTAATATTGTTTCATACAATGTTGATTCTGTTCATCATCAGTTATTAATTAAACTTGATTATTATGATTAAAAAATGAGGAATGGGTGGATTTTTATCAGGGTATTAGGGGTGTGCGATATATATCGTCTGCGATAATATCGTAATTGTTGTTTTAACGATGTGCGATTTGACATTATCGAGTATTTTGCAAAAACCAAACAAAACATCCCCACAGAGCGCACGCATACATTACGTGAAGTCTAGACTAGAGCGTGTGCGCATTTAGTGTGTGTTTTTTCACTGCATGATTCAGGCTATTAAAATGCATTTAGAATGATCACAAATTCAAGACATGATGGCAGAAAATTTATATATTTATACCACTTCATATATTCATATATAATTAAATTTCACACGAAGAGTGCTGTTTTTCTCCAAAAATTACCATGATTACAAATGTGACATTGAATTCAATAAACAATAAGTTAATTAAGAGACTTACGTTTTAGACACCATATTGCTTGTTTTTGCTCTATTTCGCCAACAAAAATCATTCCGAATACAGCCACAGCGCTGTTTTGTGTCTCTGAGCAACATGACGGTGTTTCGTTCTTGAATGAATCAACCGTTTAAATGATTCGGTTCAGTCGCAATGACTCACTTATTAACAGTGATTTGCTGCCACCTGCTGGCGGTTTTAATTTCAAATTTCGGCTTTTTCTTTTTTTCTTTTTTTCATGTTTTAAATCATTTCAAATATCAGTATTCAACGTTTTATGTTTAATATATCAAAGCATTATTTATGCATTTGTAATTGCAGGTTAAATGCATTCATGTCTTGCATTAAACAAAATACATGTGTGTAAATACATCTAAATGCCACTTCAGATGCAGCTTCTGTGTTGATTTAATTTGCTTGGTAACAGCCCAAATGTCTTATTCTAATTCCCTGATTAAATGTAAGAATTTGACTCAAAAGATAATGGACACTTTTAGAAAAAATGGCTTTATAAAGGTAAAAATGCCCATAAAATGCAAAAATCAGTTTAAACAAGATTAATTTCTATCAGTATGAACTGACCACCACACAGAATATGAAGAATATTAAAAACATTAGGAGTCAGCTGTCTTCGGCAGTCCTTAAGATACCAGCACAATAACACACTCAGCAAAATATCGTCTAATTATCGTCATCGATAAAATCCCAGAAAATATCGAGATATTATTTTTTGTCAATATCGCACACGCCTAGGTAGGGTGGTTGTGTTCACGCACTGCCAACACACATTTATGTCCAAACACTATGTAAAAGTGGATTTTGCATAATAGGTGCCCTTCAAAATATGATTATCTCACTGAAATGGCATGTTATAATGTTGTTTTACCACTGCTCCGAATGAGACGAGAGCTCACAGAGGTCAGCCCTGGGTCACGCCGGGCTCTGGGCTTTCAGAGGGTCACGACCCCGTTAGTGAACATTAACCAGCCGCCGCTGACCTTACACACACACACACACTCACTCTCTTATCTCCACTCGCGTCTTTCCAGCACACAGGCTTCATTCAGTTTATTCAGCTTTGCTCAGGCACGCTCAGGCCCTCAGGGACCTCCAGGAGCCCCGCAGCACCGCGTGTCCGTGTGAGTGTGTGTGTGCGTGTGAGAGTGTGCGATTGAGTGTGTGTGTCTGTGTGTGTGTGCGTGTGTGTGTGAGTGTGTGTGTGTGTCTGTGTGTGTGTGTGTGT